CCAAAAACCGGCCACATAGCCTCCCTCCTACAATGAACCTTCAGTCCATGCCCTACAACAGGAATGCATCGATAGCGTGCACTCCCTTACCACATGCTGTCGTGCCTGAATGGGATTTGAGTCTCCATTGGCCATGGCCCTTTGAGGCTCAAACTGCGTGGAAAATAGCCCAGTACAGGATACTCACTGCATCTGACTTCATGGCCAGTAGCTGCTAGCAATGGAAATCTGGCTTTGGGAAGGTTGTTAACCACTGGAGAACAGATCGCTGCAGCCCTGCAGCCTATCTTAGGTATGCTTTTCAACCCTTATATGTATTTAGAGATTGTTTTTCCAACAGGTATTTTTTGTGAAGTGTCATGTCTAGATTAAGGTCGATTTCTGCAGACAGTGCCTCTTCTTAGCACGTACATAGAAGCTGTTTTTATTTATTAAGCCTGATGCTATTAATTTCACCCTTGAATGTCATTCAGTGGTTTCCATTCATGCTTTTTTAAGCATTTCATTACTGCTCAACTCAGGGGCCAAATAAGTAAGCAATGGGCTTGAACATATGGGAAAAACTGACCCTTGCTGCCAAGGAGTTAAGTATTAAAGTGCATAAGCCATTTCCTGTAACAGTTGTCAAGCTAATTTTCAGTAAATTACTTAGTCCATGTGTTTATTATTCAGATATAAACCCACTGACGCGGCATGAAAATGACATTACACCACTGTAATCACAGACTAATCTTTTACAACTACAGTCACTACACCCCCAAACTGCATCCCTCTAACAAGACTTCTTTGAGTTCAGAAACAGCAGCTTTTGAGCAAGTTAATTCACACTGCATTGCACCATCCAGTGATGAGGGTAACATTAATGGGTACTGTTGCTGCACGCCTCCATGTAACTCCATAAAAATCAGAATATTCTTTAGCAAATAATGACTTAATGGGAAAGAAAGAAGTATTTGACAGAAAAGACATAGTAGTGCTTACAGATAAATAGTTTTCTCTATCTGATAATTTCTAGCTTATGTTTAGATTTTAAGTGGTTTTGTAAGATGAAGGTGTTAAAAAGTGGAAATAATTTAGTAACCTCTGAAGGTCAACACCTGCTAGGAAATTTTAAATTCAAGCTGACTTTCCATTACCCCCACGTCTCACACTGTGATTAAGTTATAGATTGATCCCTTGTATCATGGCATTGCACACAGTGCTCTTGAGGGAGCCTGAGCTGAATATATGTTAATCCAAGATACCACTTCACTATCCCTGGTTTCTACCATCGAGAAAGCACATTCTTGGATAGTTTTGTAACACAGGTGCGCTACGCTGCTATTTCTGGTTTTCTTAAGGAAAGCAAAGTGAGCAGTGGAGAAAGTACAAGACATCACTCTGATTTGTTGTTGGTTTTTACCATTAAAACATATAACATTAATATTAATCAGGTAAAAAGTACATCATGCAGGTTTCACTTTTTATTACTTTACAGAAACCATGCTCAACTGATATTATAGCTGAAGAAGAAATAGCAAGTCAACTCATAGGACCACGAGCGTATGTTTGCTTTCAGACAGACTCTCAGGGACTTCAATCAGTATTAGATTGCAGTCTTCATATTTACATTTACAAGTATTCCCCTCCGTGTCCTTACACAAATTATTAGCCTATTCAAATTCAATAAAAGATAAGTGTAAGATGAAAAAGTATGCATTAAGTATCTGACAGACAGTGATTAAAGAAAGGCAATTTTGAGAGCTGTCATTCTGGCACTTCTCTCTGGATGTTAATCAGGGGGGCAGTCCCTCTCTGTGCCTGGTCATTTTGTATCCGATCACTTGGTGTGTCAAGAAGAACCAGAAATCTGCTCCTTTGCTTTCAGATGATGGTATAAGACAGAAAGATACAAAAAAGAAAGGGTCTTCCAGTATACAGTACTGCTGTAAAAAAAAAAAAAAACCAAACCAAACCAAAACAAAAAAAAACACCTGTTGTTCATGTCTAAACATTTATATATTCACCTGTTGCTCTACCACTATGTTCCTGAATTTTCTAATTCACAAGAGCAACTTAGAGAAAAGCAGTAACTAATGATGAAATGCTTTATCTGGATAAAACACCTTGCTCCAGTAAGTAGCATTTTTCTCTCTCTTTAGAATGTGTAGCCTTTATTCCACAAATTAATCAAATAGCTGCTGTTTTCCAGTAATTCAGACTAGTCATAAAAGCATATTTAATTATTGTATAATCAGTGGTATAAGATAAATGGTTTCTACTCAGTTGCCTTTCCATGAAATCAGACTTTTCTGACACCTTAAAATGTCTACGGTGGACTAGGAGAAAGCTATGTAAGTGGTCTAAAGCAGAAAAAGCTAGACAAATGCGTGAGTAGTGGCACAGCTGTCTTGATCCACAGCGTCTTTGTGAAATACAGGAATCAAATATTAACCCCAGACTACACGCAAGGCCAGATAGCAGATCCCTAGTTTAAACCATTGTTCCTGCAGTCCTCTTTTATGCTTGAAAGTTCTTGCCTTAAAATGCAAAAAGTGTTATAAATTAGGTAATCATTCAACATTTCATACATCCATTCATTTATATATTTTAGAATATCAGTATTGTATAATAGCCCGTATCCCCAAAAAGATCTCAAACAGATTAATGAATGTTAGAAACGGAAACAATTTGTATTATGGTCACAATAAAGACTCAGTATAAAAAATATCTTTATAATACTTAGCTCCATGCAAGATAAATTTATTTTGACCTCTTTGCAGCTGTACTTATTCTTTAAAAGCAAAAAATATGCAATATAGAACAATAAGTATTTTCAATTTTTTCAAAAATTTAACAAGACTTGGGCAACTAGAACATGGGTGTGCATCATATTGACTAATAAAAATTATTATCAGCTGACAAGATTTTGACTGGTGATGTGAAGTTCAAAACTGCATGACTTAACCCTCTACTTCTGAACTCTGAGATAGAAAATACCCTTCAAGGGAACATAGCAAGGAATAAGAAAACCTTTCAGAGCCCTCACCAGAAGACTGAGAGCTCCGAGAGAGCTCAGAGATGTGAAGTTATGAAAAAATGCTGAAGATCTCTTTATCAGTTCAAACTGCTGCAAAGTACCATCCTGCTCTGGAAAATGACTTAATAAAAAAATCAAAAATAAGAAATGGCAGATTCTGAGCCCCTAAGGGTTCATAGGTGTTATCAGGCAGCAGCTTCACTTTGGGAAGACAAAAAAACCACGGGACTTGGAGGGGAGCAGTGTCTGTCAAACAGCTCAGCATGCACCATACGACGTTGTGCACACCATACCTGCTCTACCCCCTTGAACATCAGGGGAGCAAAGCTGTGAATCTGTCTCCTCCAGTGATTTTCATGAAATGGTTTTAGACATGTACTGGGGAGCAATAAAGAGCTGTCTTTAAGTTGTCCTATATACAGGGAACTGCTACTATTCCTGGTTTTATCTGAGCTACAAGAGATGAAGCAGAAGTCTTCTTTTAGTGTCCCTCACACCTGAAGGGCAGGAATAAGTTCTTAATGATTGCTACCTTGCTCAGTTCAGGCAATTTCTGCCTTCATTTGCATTCTCTAAAAGTTCACTGATACTCATGCAAATGCACAAAGTGAATGGGAGAGCCCAATGCAGTATTACTTACTTCAAGATAATGTGGACTCTAGTTCAGGAACCCAATAAGCACTTTGAAAACTATTCTGAAATTAAAACTTAAGACTTCACTGACTAGAGTTTTTTTAACTTGTCAAAGCTTTCAAACCTTTGGATCTAAAAGCTGTACTCGGTTCCTCCTCACTCAGGCATAGGAAGCAGTCAAAAAACCCACTTTGTTCCAAATCTTGTAATTTGCACAGGTGATACAGAGAGAAGAAACTGCTCTTTGATCTAAATTTAATTAAACACTTTTCTCATTGACATGCGAGCTTATTCTTTCCTAACAGTTCATTCACTGGCTAAGAAGTGATTGTTTTTTCCAGTCGTTATCAACTTTCACAGCACTGCTAACAAGGCTCAGTACAGGAAAACATGCATTTCGGTGACCAAAGCCAATAGATATGAGTGCAAATGTACATTGGTATCAGATTTGTTAAGGAAGGAAGCATTTTATGAGTTTTCAAAGCAAAACCGCATTCTGAGCTTTATAGAAGAGCCAGTTTTGGTGGAATTATAGGGCTCTCCAGAAATGCTAAATATTTGCAATGAAAACCTCTCCCAATTCCTTTCATTCAAAGCCACAAGACATTCTGTGCTCATTTCCATAGAGATTTACAGGACTACAGCAAGGAAAACTTGCTGTGAATAGTAATGGTTGCAAAAGAAGCCTCCAGTCCACAGCCACCTTTGTGCTGGAATGGTGGTAGTGGCTCTCCACAACTCAGTCCAAATTTTGGAAGAAAAGAGGGGAGTCATGGAAGCGACAAACAGAATACGTTTTTTTTATTTTGTAGGGATCCTGAGAAATTGGTTCTTCTCATTCAGTCAACATTCGCAGGATAAAATCTGCTGTGTGGATACCTTGAGTCCTATCTCCCTACTTTGGGGAAGAAGGTTTTACTTTCTTCAAGTTGAACAAAAGCATAGACCTTTTCTTCAGACACTGCTATAAAGAAGACAACAGCTCAGCACAGAAGTGTTAAAGATATTGTCTTCATGGCTTAAAAATTTCGGGAACAAGTCATCTCAATTGCTTTTAGTGTGGAACCTGGAATCCTATTTACTATGTGGAATTAGTGAAGTCTTCAGAAGCAACCTCTGACAGCTAAACATTATTATCATGTGAAAAGAGGGTTTTCAAGCTCTGGACCCTTATTACCTACGCTGCTCTCCTAGTCCTCTCCATAGATCAACTGGTCTCCATGGCATTACCACACTGCAAAACTGAAGTTATTGAAAAGAGGATCAGAACCCAGAGGTAAAACCCTCAAACCTATAATTTGTCCAAAACATAATCGATTAATTAATCAGAAGTCTTAAAAAATCTTACCTTTAAAATTTGGTCTGATTCTAGCATCATACCCCGATGTCCTTCCCATCAATTTGTCCAAAAAATCTGAAGGAGACAGGGTCTGTGAGGGGGATTTTCCAGATCTTGAATCATGTTCTTTACAGAAAGTCGTCCTAAATAAATTATTAGCCACCATTAGCTAATATTTAGCTTGTATTGTATTCAAGTCATGGAGAAATTATAGCACTAAATAAAATCTCTCAATTCAGTGAATGTAGCAATTAATATTTTTATAGAAAAATATAGTCTATTTTTCATCTGAAAACTTTATTCTAGAAATAAAAATGAGCTTAAGGTAGTAGTGTGCATGGACACAATTTGCTATTCAGAAAAAAACTTCAGCTTTAAAAAGAAATTTATTACAGCTTTAAGACTTTAAAGATTTACTCTTCATCTTCATGTGTAGAGCAATCTTACAGGGACTTTGATATCCTATTTCATATCATTACTTTAATTACATGTATGCTGTTAAAACTGTATGTTAAGACTGGTTTAAGGTGGTCTTAAACTGCCAAACAATAGCTTGCAACACTCACCAAGCAACACTGAAAAATATTGGTTTTGTTGATGTTGGGAAGGATATAGATGCAAAAAAATGGTTTTTACAGATGCTACCCAACAAAGATTTAAATCATTCTAGTGAATGTCTGGATTCTTCCCCAGCATGGCAAAAAGGGTTCCACAGTCAGTCACATCTGATCTTAGGGGTTTTTTAGCAATGAACATCGAGTAATAAAATTTATCAGTATTATTACCAGCTCCTATTTATATGCAAGATCTTGGAACACATCTCTGTTTTCGGGATTTAAGAGCAAGTTTCTGGTACCATATCATGCATACGGACCACTGTGTACATAGGATATTACATATTGCAAGCACATTAACTGTTGCAGAGAAAGAGAATTTAGGAGTTCCCCATGGTTGTTCCCTAGGGAAAAAGAAACTAGAATGAAATGGTCGTATTTGGTGTGTAGAGGCACAGATTTCATCATAAAGCATTATCTTGATTCTTAAATAACCAGTTTCATTGTATCTATGTTTCAACATAATCTTTGAGCTATATGAAAGCAATTCTATGACTGTGCCTTCCTAAACATTCTCTCTTTAAATATTTGCCCAAAGGGAGCCACTCAGTTTCAGGAGCGTTTCGTGGGGGTTTTTTGTGCATGTAAACACAAGTATAAACAAATGAGATATACATGTGAGCATCTGAAATGAGAAGCAAATATCAAATCCTTTATCCCTTTACAAAAGCACCAGACTTGTTAAAAGAGAAGGTGATAGTAAATTCTCGTGGTGTGATTCCATTTACAGGGGGCGGTTGCTTCTTTCTGCTTTTGTCAATGACATGGTACCGTTACAAAATAGCTTTAATTTTTAATACATAGTAGATGATATTCCCCATTTAAATATTAAAAACATTCAGTTAAGATAATAAAAACTGGAAAATTAATCCAGTGCGCTTATTTGGGATGTTCCTGTACAAATTACTTCTGTTTTCATTCAGAGCCCACTAGTTATGAGTTGCGTTGTGATCCCGAATATAAATATGAATATAAACACTATTTCATTCTGTCACTGTATATATACTTCATTACTCATATAAAAACACTTTATATGTGTACATGTAGATACACAGCAGTGTACAGTGTAACAATGAATCTCAGCTAAAATGGTGTTTTGGTTAATAGGACTGACCTGTTTGCTTTGTACTGCAAAAAGTCAATAGCTGAAGCAAAAGCGCATGAAACGTTAAAACAAAAATTAGAAACAACAATCATACATAGTGGTACTTTACGTGAGCACAATATTGGTCTGATCCAGGGTTTTCCCAAAGTCAGAGGACTGGTTGTCTAATTGCAGATAACTACATCCCTGACAAAACTGGTTCAATCGTTTCCAAAGCTTGAAGAGGAGGGAACCAAAGCAACTTCCTAAACAACCTCCGGTGGGAGCAGAGAATTTGCATTTGGGAAGAAAAACTGAAGAAAATGTTTTTAGCTATGCTGATACTCAGTGAAAAAACATATCTTTGAATCAGAGAAATGGAAAATAGATCACCCAAACTTGAGATTATTATTTTTTGTGTTTGTTACCAAGCAACGAGTCTCTGCGTGTGAAAGGGATAGCCTATATAGAATGAACATGAAATACTCTCAAATATAGCAAACAAACTAGGTTAATGTGACGTAGTATCTTTATAGTTATGATTTCTACAACCTTTTGACAAAAATCATCACATAGAGTCGTATCACCTACCTGAAGTGATTTGTCTCTAAGAAAAATGCAAACAAGGTTGTCAAAATTCTCACTAGCTGCCGGTTCATTCCTCCTGCTTTCTGTGATGATTTGGAAAATATCCCAGAAATTATTCCAGAGGGATGCAGGGAAAAAGTAAGCTCGCGCTGCCTAGATTCCCAAATTCAGCAACAATTTAATTTTCTTGACAATCAGGAAAAGAAGGTCTGGATCTCTACAAACTGGGGGTAAAAAAGAAGTGCCAGTCCTTGGAATCATGGTCAGGTCAAGCCTAGGCTCATCTCCAGCAGCCAGCACAGAAGAGACAAAGCATCAGACCCGGTCGTTCCCCCTCCTCGCTTTTGGTGATGGAGGGGGGGAAAAAGAAAAAAAAGAAAAAAAGAAAAGAAAAAGAAAGAAAGGAAAAAAGGAAAGGAAAAGAAGAGGAAACCCAACTACCCGAGCAGCATCACGCAAAAGGGAATAGCGCTGGGGAGCGGTTCTGTTGCCGGTATGTTTTGTTCCCCTTTCGCTTTGAAAATTAGTATTTGTGAACGGTGGTGGGGCTACGGGGTCGGTCTGCTTTTCCCCTCTTTGGGCAGGGAGGCGTCGGCGCTGCCGGGGAGGGAGAGAAGGAGGGAGGGCGGGCTGGAGGGAGGGCTGGAGGGCTGGAGCGGGCGGGGGCCGCGGGGAACCCC